TTTGTTATATATTCATACCTAAAAAGACTTTTTTTTTATTTGTTCTATATTATTTATATATGTTTTATAATACAGTATTAATATTATTATTTTGTTTTTAAATAAACCAGTGAACTAAAAATGTCTGGTTTAATTTTTGGATTTTAACTAAAATGGCACCGTTTTAATATTAATATTAGAACCGTTATTGAACTGTTGACTGTTCATAACTAAACTTAACAACCGTTTCTTAACGATGAAATAAACAGTTATTGAACTATATTTTGAACTACTGGAGCACAGTTTACTGTGTGTAAATTTTCGTATGCAAAATCAGCTTATGAACGTCCTACGACGGTTCAGTGCACCATGATATTCGGTTTATTAACTAAACTTATAATGATGAAAAAACGAAAATAACACCAATTATGTTACTCGGGTGTGTAATCGTATAGTTAAACGTATCTGGTTATTTTTAAATTTAGAATTTTGGATAAGGAAATCAATTTGTATCAGTAAGATAAACTTAATGGCTCATCATATCAAAAATTCCATGTCGTAATTTAATATATAGACATCGACTGATAAATTGGTTTATTACATTTTACATTATCAAAAAAAAAACTGCGATGAATTGTATGCGCGGTGAATTGTGCACGCGGTGAGTTATAAATGCGGTGAAATGTTGGCGGTGAATAGTCGTGGGGTGAAATAATTGCGGTGAAATATCCGGATACCGGGCGGGACAGCTAGTATTATATAAAATTAAAAAAAAAATTAGGTGTGATTAATACCACCTAATTAAGCATTAAATTTAATATCTAAAATCTGACCTATACCAGATTTTATATCAAACCAATTAAATAAGTAAATGCTTGTCTCAAACCCTGTTCATGACATTGAAATAAATAAGTTTATAACTATTTCAGTTTATTAGTACAATATTTATTTAGAAATATATAAGTATTATTTAAATAATGTATACATTTATTTGATTGTTCAAAACGAGCTTGTGCAAACAAATATGTTACAATTGTTGAAGCAATTTATAGTAGATTTTTTATATTGTACTAAAGTTTGATTATAAATTGTAAGTGCATTTTACTATGCTACACCTATGTACATTACACTAATATTCAATTTTAAATTGTAAATGATACCAATTAATATTAACCTGTTGAAAATATTATTCAAAGTGAAATTAAAGATGATAAAATTAAGCGAATTTGGAATTATAGTAAGTCATACGTATATTTTATTTTTTTTTTTTCATATTTTGTGTGTAGAAAACTGGTTACTAAGCTTGTCAATATCGCTAGGAAATAATGTTGCCCAACAGGACGGTAATTTGTACAATATGGGCTGACTTTGGCGCTTCCTTTCATTAGCGCAGCATCGAACCTGTCATGAAAAATCATTAATTATTGCCTGCTAAACAAAACCAAAATCTAATAAAAAATTACTATATTGTCTTTTGACCAATATGCGTGGCGAGACTTAGCACGTTTAATAATGGTTTCGTCTTCAAATGTTAGTGGTTTTACACTTTTAACCAGCTGACTAAAGTTAGAATGTACTGGGCACCACCATTCTGTGCACTAAACAAAAGTTATAAGTAATTTCTAATTATTTTAATATATTTTTTTGTTTTGTGAACAATTTACCTGTCTTACAACTTCAGAAAGTTCATCGTGCAATGTGGTAACGTTAGTTGGAGGAGTATGGAGTAATGCAGTGTTATTTGTATTATTTGTATTGTCAACAGAATCAATGTCTTTCAACCCTTTTATGATTCTGTTTTCAAGTCTAGCCAATTTTGTGTCAAATAACTGTTCCATTGTTTCTAATGTAACCATTTTTTTACTCTCCATTTTCTATAATATTATTAAGTAGGTATTACCAATTATTAATATTATAATTTAATACTAAATTTTTCTTACCAAAGTTGTTATATTAAGCTTTAACTGCTCATTTTCTTCCAACAATAATTCATAACAATTTTGCAAGGTTGATAGTGGTTTACCTAATAAAAATAGGGGTGAAAAATAAAAAAAATGATATAGTTCTAGAACAGCATGGATCTAAAATATTGAAAAAAAAAATTTGAAAAAAGTAAATGGTTTTGAGAAATATTGAGTGTTTTACGTTAAATGAATCATCCTGTATAAGGTGTTTACAAAATGATCCCACCACTGATCGTGTTTGCTGTGTTAAAGCAAGTAATGGATTTTATGTTGTCTGAGCGTTTCATGTTAACAAGTTTGTTGTTCACTATTTTTTTAATATTACAAGTCCATTGAGTAAATTTCTTCAAGGTAAAAATGCTGATTTGTTAGCTGCTGTAAATTATGTAAAAAACGCACTCACGAAAATAGAAGACCTTCGCTGTGACAAACAGTTTGATGAGTTACAAAAGAATAAAAACAAATCCATTGAATCGGAGAAAAATGATTTTTTATTCACTCAGAAATATATCCTTCAGGCCATTTAAATAAAACACATTATAAGTATAATTTATTGTGTTTTAAGTACAAAAATGCTTTTGGTTTTTTTTCTTCGTCGTTGTCAATTTCCTAATCATCAGTTTCATAGTGTATAATTGAATCAATATCACCATGAAGTTTTTTTGGAAGTTTTGTCAATGATTCAAACGTAAGAAATATATTTACAAATTGTAAATATTCACACCTTAATTCATTAGCTGAAATATATTGTTTATAAATAGCTTCCAACCCATTAAAAGCATCAATTGGCATACTGGAATTATTTTCAGCCATTTCCTGAATTCTTGTTCTTTGAAAAAGTGAAAGATCTTTTAATAATTGTGTTGAGTTTTCATTAAAGCGTTCCTTTATTTGTGTCGTGATAATATCTAAGGTGTAACAAAACCAGCTGTCTTAAAACAATTTGATACGTTTTTAAACTATATCGATTAAGAATTCACCAAAATGGAATCCCCGCCTAGAACGAACGGAGAAATGATCACATTTATTAAAAATGTACGCGATGAAAGTGTAATTCCAAAAAAATGATATAAACTTTGTTAGCCAGCTGAAAATGTTTGCAACCAGCCAATTAGCTAAACAATGCGCACAACGATTGAATGGTGGAATGTCACCCGAGGTACTTTTTGCCAGCCCCGCCATGAATTTTTTGTTTTTCTAGGGGAAGGAAAGTCGTGCGAATTTTCAAACCGGGCGTGCGAATTAGTGCGAATTACGTGGTAAATATCTGTATAGTTTGTTTACAGTTTTTCCTTGGGGGGGGGGGGGGCAGTTATTTCCAGGGTAAGTGTGGAAGAAGTTATTCAGATGAAAAATATATACACACGACCTAGTGCATTACGTCAGGCCTGTGATATTTTAAGGTATCTTGGAAAGGAAATGCCGTTACCCAAAGATACAAAAATAAGCAATGTTGAAGATTATTTATCCCGTATCGTTGTCCAAGAATTGAAAAAACAACTCAAGTTCACTGGTATTTGTTTAATAGCAGATTTGAAAATTAAAGCAGTCAAACAATTGGCAATGGGATGGTTATCTTCTTCTGCCGAAACTGAGGTAATACGATTTTATTTTTACATATTATTTTATACTAAAGAAACAATTTTTTTTTAGAGTGAAGTAAACAGACCGAATACGAGGGTATTTGTAGCACGTGAAACCGCAAAAGCAGCCCGCAGATTAAGTTTTCGTTAGTAATAATGTAATATTTTATTGTAATATGACATTTTATTATGTAATTTTCATATTTTTGTCAATTATTTAAAAACTCGAACCATTGATGTAATATATTTTTATTGTAATATGATATTTTATTATTTATGTATAATAAAAAAAAAACAACGTGATATTTAAAAAAAGTATTTTGATTTACAAAATTATTTACAATTTTCTTACATCGCCATTAAATGGACTACAAGTTATAATTTGATCGTGTAAGATGAGGCAATATGCTGCAGTCTTTGCTGGAATAGCTTTGTCTGTTTCGAACTCGATGCGTAAATCTACAGTCGATGATTTTACATTGTCGTTCTGTCTTGATAAATCCACGACTATGATTGGTACAAACTGCTGGAAAACGTTTTTTGCAAGTATAGCAAGCTATATTCTCTCTAGTAGTATGATTTTTGAAATTCGGCATACGCTTTGTACAATATAGCTGTAACGTTGTTCGTGAAATCTGTACGGAAATCTTCATATGGATATACTTCGGAGTTCAGGTGTACTTTCAGGTTTTTCAGGTAGCAGTGATCGAACCGTCCCGATGGATTAAATAAATTATTTTTTCGATCTGTTTGAAATGCAATTAATGCAAATCTAGGTTTCTCGAGCAAACTGCTCGATTTAACAGTCCATGAATGAGAAGTATTTTGAGTTATATACTGTAATTTATTTGATACCTAATTTCTTAAACATATATTAATTATTATATATTTACAGTTGATACATAAAATAGCCATGAATACAACGCTATCCAATATACAGCAATTAAATGCAATATGGGACTACTCATATATAATTTACTCATTTTTTCGTTAAATACGTAGGTAGAATTTATGCTGAAATCTAAAAATTTACTCATCAATGTGAATATACGTTAAAATGTACTAATTTTGATAAAAACATAACTGTCTGGGTGTAAATACAAAAATCTTGCTAAAATGAGTAAAAATATCATAATTTTTATAAAGCATATGGAAAAATCACAAAATTTTTAGTGAAAAATAGGGGAAAATATTATAATTTCATTAAAATCATGAAATATTATAAAAAATATATCCCTACCTAATTACCATCAAAGGTATAAATACAGTTTCTCAAACTCCTCAATTGCAATATTTTCGTGTGTTTTTCCCCATTCAATAGATTTTACTCCTTCTACAAAATATTTACCTAGGAGACCTTTATAAAGTGAATTAGGGTATCGATTGTTTTTTACTGATTTAATTACTTTAAGAAAATTACTAGATGTTAAACGAAATTTTCTGTAAAGACACCATTTAACATATTGACTTTGTCCTATGGTTTTTGAGGCGATGTCTTTAATTTTTTCAAAAGATAATTTACAAAGCTCAGACAAAATTTGTATACTATATTTTGAAGTTCTAAATTTGAGGAGTTTATAACATTTTCTAAGAGAAGAATTTCACTAAAATCTTCAACTAGAGGTTCTGGACTTAATAACCAAGAAAACCCAACTGTTTGATTAGCTGTTGATAATTTATCAAAGCATAAGGCTTTAAAATCAATGTTATGGGTATCAGTACCAGCTTTAAGATTATTGGAATACATATCACCAATAGTCATTACTTCTTCATTTTCTTTTGCACATTTTTTTGACCAGCTGCATGCTATATCAGTCTGTTACGTACGGCCCTTCAGGGATCCAAAAGCTGTTGCACTTTTACAATAAAATATAGTCAGTTTAAATATAAATCAACTGTAGTTTATTAAAACCAATAATAATTAATATATTCGTGGTGAATTGCAGCGTCGTGAGTTGACTCGTTGTTGTAGTCGATAATCTCCGTGTAAGTTGTGTGTAATGGCTGGTGCATAAGCGGCTCGCTCGGTCTTGGCGGCTCTGGTAAATCTAATGTGTATTGGGCCCCTGGCCTCTATATATACGGAGGCGGCGTCCTTTGAATTGAGCGGGGCGTGGCATGCAGGCGCCCTTGATATGATATGGACCTCACGAATAAGAGTGGTATTCTAGTCATAAACACTTTGGGTGTGGTCACATTCCTGGTTGTTTTTATGAGCAAGTATATGAAATTACGTAATCCCATTACACCTCCCTACCAAAAAAAAGATTGTTAACCTTTAAGGGTTAAGAATCTTTAACAACGTTAATTAAATAGTTTACAATGGTTGAATTACATTGTTTACATACATTTACATTGGTATAAATTTTTGTATACAGTTAACAATTTTGATTACATTATTACATTTGATTACAATAATGTGAACATTTTACAATTTTGAATGTCATCATTATTATTATTGTTTTTTATTATTCATATTACAATTTGTATATTGTGGTTAGTAAAATATAATTAATACATGATTTAATTAAATAACTAGTGTTAATAAGAATAATCCTTTTTTTTTTTTATATATAATATAAGATGTTCCTAGCCATGGCTATCTACATCTATTGATATTAACTATAAGTTGCATTTTTAACATTTTGAATATGATAATTTAAGTAAGTAATTATAATAATTATAATAATAATAATAACTTAATAATAATAATAGCAATATAAAGGTATAACATATAATAAATGGCAAGTTGTATAACTTAAGTTGACGCTACGAGTAGCAACAGCTGCTGTATATGGAACTGTTTAAACCAGAAAGTCATGTGGACGTCTACGTTTTAGTCTGCGTTGAGGCGGATGTACATTTAGCTGATAATGAAGTGAGCCAGGAGAGCTGAGCAGTGCGGTATGGAAGTTTTTTGATGAGGTTTTAATGTAGTCTGTGATTTCCTGGATCTGAAGGTCTTTGTGTAGGTTTACGTTCCTTATAAACCAAGGTTATAAGTAATACGTAGCACTTTATTTTGAAAAATTTGAATTTTATTGATGTGAGTGGTCGCGCATTTCCCCCAGACCGGACACGAATAAGTGAGAAGTGGACGTAGAATTTGTTTAAATATAAGAAGAGAGCATTTTTTTCTGTAATGGAGATTGTTTATTGAGAATAGGGTATAACATAGAAAGGCGCTGATATGCCTGTTGAAGTTTGGATGAGATATGGGGCTGCCATGTAAGCCGTTTATCCAATGTCAAGCCGGGGTATTTTACTGTCGAGCTCCATGGTATATTTACATTGTTAAATGTTAATTGTTCAGGGAAGTGGTAAGGACGAAGACTGAAAATAACTCCTGTGCTTTTTGACGCATTTATTTGAATACGCCATTTTTTACACCAATGAGATATTTCATCAAGATGTGTTTGCAGATTTGTGGTTAATACTTCAATGTTACGTGATTCGGTGAATATTGTAGTATCATCAGCGAAGAGGGCAATATTCGTACGAAGTGACTGGGGGATATCGTATACGTAGATGTTAAATAGTATGGGACCAAGCTTAGAGCCCTGAGGTACACCAGCAGATATAGGCATGAGGTCTGAGGTGTTATCATTTATTTTAACAGCGAACTGCATGTTAAGTAGAAATGAATTAATAATATTGAATAAGTAAGATGGAGTACTAATGGATTTTAATTTAAAAAGTAGGCCCTCGTGCCATACTTTATCAAATGCTTTGGAAATATCTATAAATACAGCTCCCGTATGATAACGTTTTTCAAATGCAGTATTAATGTGTTCAGTTATTTTAAGTAATTGTTGAACCGTAGAATGATTTGATCTAAACCCGAATTGGAATTTAGGTATAATATCTATGGCATTTAAGTAGAGAAGAAGTCTAGTGTGAATGATTTTTTCAAACAATTTTGAAATTGAAGATAAGAGGCTGATTAGCTTGTAGCTGTCAGGAATGGATTTGTCCTTCCCAGGTTTCTTTATTAGTATTATGTTTGCAACTTTCCATTTGGGCGGAAAGTAGCCAAGACGCAGTAAAGAGTTAAATAATGTGGTCATAAACACTAGTCCTTTCGGTTATAATTTTTTTAGCATAAGGTTTGCAATTTTGTCGTGACCCTGTGATTTTTTGATAGGGAGATTTTTTATAATTTGTTTGATTTCATTTGGCGTTACGTAATTTATGGAATTTTGGACTTCATAATTTGGTAGTTCTAAGGTGTGTTTTACTCTTAGGTCATTGCTTGGATTACAGATATGGTTGGGAGAAAAGGTATTGTACAGCATGTTTGAAAAAACATCACATTTTTCTTGATCGGATATGACAAGTTTTGCATCAGTGCGAAGAGGGGGAATGGTGTTGGTAGCTTGGTTTAGTAGTCTTTTTGTTGCTTTCCACAAATTTGATTCACCCGGTCACATGTTTGACAGGTAACTATTGTATGAGGCTACACGGTAATTTTGTAAAGCTGCTTGGACTTCTTTGGTGAGTAGGTTTACTATTTTTTTATCTGCAGGGTTCCTATGGTTTTGCCAGGTGCGCCTGGCTAAATGTTTACGACGAATAAGTGAAGATATGGAGTGTGGTAGGATGCCAGGACTGTGTATATTTTGCGGTACGGAATTAGAACAGGACTGAGCGGCTTCTATTATGACGTCCGTCAGATGATCGGCTGTTTATTCTGCTATTTGAATGGTAGGTACCAAGGGGTGGCCATATCATTCTAAAAGTGAAGCGAAAACGGGGTACTTGCAGTGCAACCATCATATGAAAAATAAATTGTTGTAAATATACTAACACATTATTTTATTTGGAATAATAAAAATTAATTTTAAAATAAGAAGAACAAATTTTACAAAAAAATATATATACTAGTGGTTCTTATTATAATATACAAATATATAATAATAATATGGTGAAATGTAATATTTTCGTTTTCATTTTTTTGTTTCTGAGTCCGAGCGCACAAAATACAGTTGACCATGATGATTTTAGGCTAGACTCGCGTTACTCACAATTTTACAAAATTTAAAATACAGTTAAAAATTATAATTATAATTAAAATTATAATTTTTAATGCTAATCAAACATTAATCATTTATTATCAGTTATCACCATAGACCATAGAGTAATAAAATATAATGTCGATTATCCATTTAATTTCATGGTCGAAAACGCCATCTAGTGATCACTAGAGTTGTAAGAGGGGTACAATGGCGTTCAATTTTGCTTCGATCTGATAATCATAATATCTGCCTAATGCCGCCTCTACAGGGTGATTCTTTTATCAAACAACACTCATTATTTGAAAAAGTATTGACTTTTTTCAAATTTTTTTTTTTTCAAAATTGTAGATTTATGCTGTTCTAGAATTGTATATTTTTTTTTTGACCCTTATATTTAATAGGTAAACCACTATCAACTTTTGATTTTCAAATGGTAACCTATACTAAAAATTTCATAATTGAATAAAACTATTTTTTTCATTAATTATTACGTTCAAATTTTCATTTTTCGTTAATCCGTTGATGAGATATTGCTCCTCAAAGTTAGGTGGTTTTTGGAGATAGTTATAGTGTGTAAATGTGTTATACCTCGTCAGTAGATACCGCAGCTATCAGGATTTTTATGTCCCAGGGCAAAATATATCACACTTTTCAAATCAGTTCATAAAGTACTTAGAGCCCCTAAATGTATTTTATTATGCCCATCTTTCAGGGAGTCATGAAGTTCACCCCACGAAGGTGATTGCGGCACTGGTCTGTGGTCGTAATAATTATTATCAATTATAAAGACCAGAAGTTACAAGTAATAAATTCGATATCGTTCGACCCAAGATATAGCGGTGATAATCTTTGTACCTGACAGCCGATAATACCTACATACAATAACAAACGATCATATTATTATTGGTCTGCTTCTGTTTGTAGCTTCGATCACAATTTAATCTCTATTCTATGCTACGACACACCATAGACTAACATACGGAAATACAGAATTATTTTAGTCCATATAAGTTAATGTTGTCCATGGTTTATCATTATAACTGTCTATCATACAGAAAATACAGTGTTACCAACATGTGTATTTACAAAATAAATAGTAACAGTAACTTTCTGTTTATTTATGTCACAAATAAAATCCCGTTTTTGTTACTCTAGTAGACTGCCTGTACTACAGTTGCAACAACTGTTAACTGTTTTAAATCGCTGCTGTAGTAGTGTACAGTAATTTATTGTCTGTAGTTGTCTGTTACTCGTTACTATATGATATAATAACCATATTTAATAATGGACCATAATGGCATAATATTAACAATAAATTAACGTAATAGGTAACTTGATTTTTTTTTTTTATACATATAATATACATATAACTGTGTATAGCTTTGGTAGATTTAACTAATACAAAATAATGTGTTAATTATTATTATAGATTTAATATATCTATTTTATGATGTTTACCTTTTGGATACTTTGAAGATGTAAATGCCTATTAGGATTTAAGTTTTTTAGTGATAATTTTTTTTTTTTTTTTTTAACAAATCAAATATCCTCTTCTCATATAAAATATCATTTGAGTATGTTTATTACAAATCTGGAAATACAATACTCTGAACTAATTTAATATTAAGTATAAACAACTCTTTTTTTGATGTTTGCAATTTCAATTTAATACATTTACAATTTCAAATCAAATATTAGTATAATATAAATAATTCACCATACATAGCTTCAATAGTTGTAATATACT